AACAAGAGCCATACTAGTAGTAACAAGAAGCTACTAGGAACAAGGGCCTACTACTAGGAACAAGAACGCTTTTAGGGGCTCCTGGCCGTACTACTAGGAGCAAGGGCCTTGCTACTAGGAACAAGATCGCTATTAGTTAATTTAATTTCGTTTTAATTTGATTCTATTAGCTTCTTGTTACTAGTAGTAAGGCACCTGTTACTACTAGCGATGCACTTGTTACTACTAGGAACAAGAACGCTACATGTTTCTTTTGGGGTCTTTAGGGTCGAATGATATCCCCCTTTTTCATTTTTGAGGACCCGTGTTCTCGGGTTTAGACCGTTCCTTTGCAGTGTTTTATTCTGGTTTAGACTCGTTTTGTTCTTTAGACGAGATTTTCTCTTTGGATGTTCTTGTTTGTTTAGAGGTTTTCTTTAGACATGTTTGCTTCATCATACTTTATGTATTTTTTCCATTAACATTATTTTTCTTTCGATACCTTTTTTTTGTTTCGACCCTTTTTCGATATCTGTTCTTTTCTTGATCCTATTTTTAAAGACATTTCTTCAGCTGCTTCCCTTTGGATAATTGTTCTTTAGACCTTCATGATAGACCTTCATGACGTGAACCTTTTTGGTTCGAAAAAACATCGTTCGACCCCCTCTTTTGTTTCAGTTCATGTTCTTGGCCGGTTCTTTTTTTGCCGACCATATCTTTTCGTTTTTCCATGACTCCGCGTCATGAAGACACCTTCCGACCATATCGTTAGTTTAGGTCTTTTGGTGTCGGAAGGAATCTCCTTTGGGAGCTGAGGTGCCCTTCACTTGGCGCGAAAGAATTAGCGCGGCCTTTGATGCATCCTGCGGTGGAGCTGACGATTTCAGAAGACAAGCACCTTCTTTCTGTGTCATCTCATAGGCATGGATTGATTACTTGAACTAGCAGGCATCAAAAGGCTACAAGAGCATACAATATACTTGCAGCACATGTTTTCAAGAGATGTGTTCCTTACATTTTCTCATATTTTCACATAAAAATTCTTTTCATTCTGATTTCTGGCTCACTTGCAATCGCAGCGAATGGTTTCTGCCAGGCTTGTCACACCTTCACAACTCCACTCCCAAGGCCAAGTTGGATGTCCAAAGAGTTTTTTTTTGTGCGACGAAGGCAACTGCACACCGTTGCCTTGCGGTTGCCTTGCGGTTGCCTTGCGGTTGCCTTGTTTTCTTTGGCGCAAGAAGAGCTCGACTCTTCTCTGAATCCTTACAATAATATCTCTTGCCAACGGCCGAAGAATTTGCCGAGACTGGTGGTTGAGTGGTTGAGATCATCTTGCAGGTGCCGTGCACGTTTCGAACGAACCGTGTGGGCGGTTGAGGTCTTCCATCGAGATATCAAGTGCCCCAATATCTTGCTGGCGACTTGTTGGCACAGACCTTGAGGGATTCTTGGAGCGATCCCAAGCAGGTCGTACTAAGCCACTTACTGCAGTAAGCTACAGCGTTGCAAGTTCTTGCAAAGTCAGCCGCTTTAAAGACAAGTCAGAATGTGTTGTCAGTCATCAGCAAGCTGAGGACAGAAATGGAACAGCCAAGATGGCCGACTTTGCCACGGTCTCAGAACATGCTGCTGTGATTGACGTGTTGCAAGGCAGCTAATGGGTCTGAAGTGACAGTCCAGCTTTCACATGCAAGATTGCTTCTAAAAGTCCAAGACTGGTCATAGGTCGTGGCCTTTTCTCTGCAAGAAGGCTTAAGAAGGCCTCCCGATGCCAGCTGAGGGCCTTGCTTGTTGCTCCCATGCCAAGAGCAGAAGGTGGAACAGGCGAAAAGGGTTTTGCAGCGAGCTCGTCTTGAGATGCACGTCCCATTGGTTCAAACCAGGTGTATTGCTCCGTTCGTAGTAAAGCCAGGAGCCCCGTTCGTAGCGTCCGATCGCTCCGTTCGTAGTAGTGTAGTGGGTAGGAAAGACAAAAACAACACATGAAATACAGTGAAATCCGGGCAGCCTACTTCCTTTTTCAGAGGCGGCTGGAACCGTGGGCTATGCCTGTCCACATTACGTCAACAAGGGCGTGGTGAGCGAAGGCAGCGAGGCCGGGCATACGTAGACACCTATGACGCTGTTCCTTGTAGCTTTCTCGCTGAAGAAGCGAAAGAAAGGTCTCAAAAATAGAAATACTTAAAGTCGAAAGTGAAAAAAACACACAGAAAAAGACAAGAATGCCAGGTTTTAAAGGTCTTCAGAAAAACAAACCGGGACGGAAAAGACGCTCATAAAGAAGAGTCCACATGTTGCAAGAAAAGAGAAAGAAAGACACAAAGAAAGAAAGACAAACGGAAAAGAAGGGAAGAGAAGAGAAAATATCGCCAATGTTAGAACATGAGTGTTAAAGGAGAAAGGTCCAAAGGTCTAAAGAACAAAAATGGAAGACATGGCTAGAGGTCTGAAGTAAAGGAACATGAACAACAAAGAAAGAGAGAAGTGACTCAAGGTCTAAAGAGCAGAAAAAGAACAACAGATTCCTAATAGCTTCTTGTTACTACTAGTAAGGCACTTGTTACTAGAAGCGAAGCACTTGTTCCTAATAGCTTATTGTTCCTAATAAAGAAAGAGACGAAGAACGAAAGTGCAACAAGCAATGTCTAAAGAAGAACAGGATAAAGAAAAGGACAAGACAGGTGAAAGGTTTTTAAGGAACCGGTAGCAACAATTCGCTGTACAAAGATCAAGAAAGGAAAGGCCTACAGGTCTAGAGAAGAAAAGAACGACCAACCGGCACCAAGAACGACATGTCGATCTCAACACAGGTCTCGCACATGTCGAAAAGTGCAAAGAGCAGGCAGCAAGCAAGAAAGGTCTACAACAAAGAGCAAAGATTTCTCGTGTAAAGGTCCAAAGAATCATGGATAAGAAACGAAAGACGGCTAGCGCAGGATGCCAGGGGCAAGGCTCAAACTTTCTGGAGATTTCTTTTCGAAGCAGAAGCAGCAGACGACACATATGGGCAATTATATTAAGATTTGGTATAATTGTTCGAATCAAAACGTGTAAAGTCATAGGACAGTGTGGAAATCAGTAAGAAGAGGGTCGTACCAGCTTGGGCACACCAAAGAGCTGATTTTATTTAAGCCCATCTCTGGGCTCAAATAGGGCCTAGGATGGGGCATCCTGTGGGAGGCCATTGCTACGCTAGTAGGTTGGAGGGCATCGCTAGTAGTAACAAGAAGCTACTAGGGGCTCCTGGCCGTACTACTAGGCACAAGAATTCTACTAGGAGCAAGGGCATCGCTACTAGGAGCACGGACGCTACTAGGGGCTCCTGGCCTTACTACTAGTAACAAGACGCTACTAGGAGCAAGGGCATCGCTAGTAGGTTGGAGGGCATCGTGTTGTGATTCTGTCGGCTGAGCGAAGAAGCACCGACGCTGTGAACAGGTCTACAGCTTCGGCATCGTCTTGCTGGAGCTCTTGACAGCACTCCAGCCTGCGCAGCTGTCTCAGGCACGTCCAAATTCGGACAAACACAATTGGCCCAAGGAAGACAACTAGTGGCTTCTTGTCACGAGTAGCGATGGCCGCCAACCTAATAGCGTATTGTTACTAGTATCTTCTTGTGTTACTCGTAGTAATGCCAGGAGCTACAGGAGCAGGAGCAGTTCTTGGTTGACTTTGGCCTTCCCAATCCTATCCTGCTTTCACCAAATCAAGCCAACGGAAGCCACGTGCCAGCAACCAAGCCAAAGGAAGGAGCCCTGTAAATCGAGCGAACTTTCAGGATGTCTAAAGTGTGAATTCACCACCAGATCTTCTCAACTGGGCAAGTTTGGAAGGAATCGTCGTCGGCAACAGATCGTCCTCTCCATATGTGCATGACCTCACGCAACGACACGGGGTGACGTGGGCGACTATTTGATTCTTTCTTCTCTCTCCTCTCTCTTCTCTCATTTTGTGTTTAAAATAGGTTCTTTTCCTGAGCTCAATCATTCCACCACAGTTTTTGTCGCCAAAAGCGGTTTTTCGGGTCTCATGCGCCGTTCAGCATCCACCTCTGTGGAAGATGCTGGTGATGCTTCCTAGAGTGCATGGCATATTTGGCACAGCAAAATGCCAGATAAACGTTGCAAGATCCAATGTGTATTTTTTTCTTTCGTAGCTGGATAGCGAGACACTACGCTGCCGAGTAGCAGCAGCAGCAGTAACCCAATAACAGCAGCAGACCTGCAACAGAATATCGCATGGCAGCAGCTTTTAGCAGCATACCAGCAACAGGTGTTTTGCATCCGAAACAAAACTGTTGAACCCAAACAACAATCCCAATCATGATTGTCAGATTGTCCCACAATTTTGACTAGAGGCACGCACTCGCTTGAAACATAATATGTTAACGACAAATTTTTTGTGAACGTTTGGCAATTCTACTTGCCTGTTGTCCACCCTAGCATCCGGTAAGTAGTAGTGGCAATGGTGGTAGCAGTAGCAGTACTAGAAACTAGTAGTAGTACCAATGATGCACTTACTATGATTGTGACTACGACCATTACAGTTGTAGCTAGTGTTGCTCCTGCTATTTTGGTATATGCCAAAGCACTGCAATTTGCTGTGAAGCTAGGTTGGAGGCCGCTAGGTTGGTTGCAGCGACACAAAAGCA